TCGATTGGACAAGGATCGGACGCATGGCGAGGTTCTGAGGAAGTCGCGTGGGCACACACGGGATTGTGCGTGGCCACGCACGGCCGTGCAACATGTAATTCTGGCCGTGCGGGATTGTGCGTGGGCACGCACGGGCACAAGTGAAATCCGCACGGCCGTGCAAGTAACCAGTTTGGCCGTGCGGGATTGTGCGTGGGCATGCACGGGATTGTGCGTGGCCACGCACGGCCGTGCACCTGGCCGTGCAAGATGGACGAAGGCAGACTTATTGATACAGCGCGTTTCAGGGTGCACGGCCAGAATGGTGTTGTGCACGGCCGTGCACCTAGCCGTGCAACTCGGGAAAGCCGGTTTTAAAGCCTAATCCGAGCCAGAAGTGGGGGAATCGTGTTTGGAGAGCAAAAACAGAGCCCTAGAGAGAGAAAGTGCGAAGAACACATCCTAGAAGCTGTCTTAGAGCTGGATTTCACCGAATCGAGCTTGGAGATCGTCATAGGAGTGAAAATCATCGTCCCGGAGCAGATTATCCTCATCGTTATGAGTATGACTAATCCGATTCTTGTTTTCTCTTCTCTCTCTATGGAGTAGAACCCTTCTCTCACTTGGGTATGAAGAACCCTAGTTCCTTGTGTTAGGGATTTGATTGTAATGACTTGTGATGATATTATTGTTTGATTTTAATCGAATGACGCATGTTTAATGAATTGATTTGAGTCTGATCAGCTTGTCTCAATTTCTGCTTCAACCTGAGATAGATAGAATCTGATTAGGTTGTTAGAGCCTCTTCATTCGATAGTAGGAGATTGGCTATACGAGAGTTAGCCAGTTTACTGCTTTATACTGGTGTTCTTGACGCCAGTAGTGGAGTTGTGTGTTCATAGCCTCAGCTTTCTATCCCGGTGAAGACTAGTCGTCTGCCGGGTAGTTAGACTGAGAGGGCTTGGTCAGCTTAAGAGATTCCAAGCTACTGTCGGATCTTCCGCAGTCTAATCAACAGTAAATCAACCCAGGGAATTACAATTGAACCTAACTAAGGGGATAGGGGGACTCAATCCCGAGTGACTCTTGCCTGCTTTAGAAACCCGAACAATTTACTGCTTTCTTGTTGCTTTTACTTTTCACAACAATCACTCGAACTAGTTTGCTAGATAATAGAGAATCACGGAGTAAGTAGTAGATCTAGACCCCGGGTTGATAATTAAACTTGCCTATACTGCAGTCCCTTTCATTGGTTACACTTGGCCATTGTTAGGTGTTGTGTTTTAGCATGTCATGAAGCAATAAGCACAGAACTCCACTACTGGAATTGAATTCCAATACAAAGCAGTAAACTGGCTAACTCTCGTATAACCAATCTCCTACTATCGAATGAAGAGGCTCTTACAACCTAATCAGATTCTATCTATCTCAGGTTGCAGCAGAAATCAAGAAAAGCTGATCAGACTTCAATCAATTCAATAAACATGCATCATTCGATTAAAACCAAACAGTATAATCATCCCAAGTCATTTCAATCAAATCCCTAACACCAGGAACTAGGGTTCTTCATACCCAAGTGAGAGAAGGGTTCTACTCCATAGAGAGAGAAAAGAAAACAGTAATCGGAGTAGTCATACTCATAATGATGAGGAAAATCTGCTCCGGGATGATGATTTCCACTCCTATGACGATCTCCAAGCTCGATTTGACGAAACCCAGCTCCAAGATAGCTTCTAGGATGTGTTCTTCGTACTTTCTCTCTCTAGGGCTCTGTTTTTGCTCTGAAAATCCGATTCTCCCCTTTTTGGCTCGAAATTGGCTGAAAAACCAAGATTTCCCGACTCACACGTGCAGGCCACACGGCCGTGTGGCTCACCCAGTTGCCTGTGCGAGTCAAAACGCAGCGTATCATTAAGTTGGCCTTCAGCCATCCCACACGGCCAGGGTCGCACGGCCGTGTGGATTTCCTGGGATGCCCGTGTTTGCTCTCGGCAAAAATCACACGGCCACAAGTGCAACTTGCATGGCCGTGTGATACCCAGGGCTGCCCGTGTGGCTTCCTTAGAACCTCGCCATGCGTCCGATCTTCGTCCAATCGACCCCAAACTCGCTCCCAAGCCTCCATTCACGTACTAGGACCTGAAATATCACAAACAAGCACAACCTAGCGTGAAATCGGCCTAAAACCCGAGAATCAACACCTCAAACGGTGTAAGAACAGGGGTAAAAACATGTGTAAATAACGGTCTATCAACTAACTAGGTGATTTTAAATTTATATATGAGTTTCATTATACATTTCAATGTACAACGGGTACATTGTGTTATCATGACTTTGATAATGCAATTGTTGTATCATCCTTATTTATAATTCTCTTTTTTCTCCTCTTTTCTTACTTCTGGTGAAAAGATCCTTTTATTTATAATTCACTTCGGGGAATAGATTATTTCATTCACTTTTGGGAATGAAAATTTCTCAAGTGCAATATCATTTTCATCTTTAATGGAGAATATACCAACTTATAATACAAAAAATATTTTCCATACTATTGATATTATAGGAGCGTATATGAATTTATTTATTTTTTTTCTTTGATTCTTGATAGAATAAGGTCTTTTTCGTACAATGGGTACGAGAAACGCATTTTTCCATTACAATGATAACATACATACCAATATTCTTGTTACCATGTCCACTTCTTTCTTTGCCCTTGGATTCTTCAATTTCCATTTCTGGGGAATATATGGGCTCTTGGACTTGCAATTTCTACATATCAATATAGGATTGATAAGAATAGGATAACACGGAGAACTGAGAAATTAACTCATCGCTTATATTACTTTTCTTATTATTGCTACTACATGAGCAAATTTTAATTTGCGATAATGTCAAAGCACAAATTTAATTTTAAGGAATCGATATATGTATTGTAAAACACAAAATAATATAAATCAAATCACACAACCCAAAATTTTAATCCAAATAGATGTAGATGATAAAATATCAATGGATGGCCTACTACGAGAAAAAAGTAGCATCCATCTCAATATTGGAATGGGATAATCTCAACACAAATAAGACAATAAGACATGAAAGAAGATGAAGATTTGCATACCTGATCATATTGTGATCTTACTCCAATATACTAGATTGTGTAGAGAGACAGGGACCAACCATGATGCTCGCAGAGTTTCGTGCTGATAACGTGTTATGAAACTAATGAAAAATATAAACAACTACAAGAGAATATTAGAGGGAAATGACACAAAATTAGAGAGGGTGAAGAGAGCTTTCTTATTTATTATTCACTTTTGATACAATAGTGTGCCCTATTTATAGGCACATATTGGTAACTAGGGATGGCAAAATTATCCGTAACCGTGGATCCGCCTGAATCCGATCTAATCGGGTAGGATAAAACCCGAACCCGAAGAACTTTTAGTGGGCACGGGTAAAACCCGAACCCGAATATTGCGGGTAATGGGTAGGCATGGTTTTCTCACTATCCAACCCGAACTCGCCCGATTATACATATGCATATGTATTTTGTCTAGAAATAATCAATATTTTTCTCTAACATATTTTATATTTAGCATATAAATATAATATTTTTATGAAATTGTGTTATTTTAATTAGTTTTCTTCATTCTAGTGAATTATTGTCGTACTTTTCTTCTTACGTAACGTGAAAATACTCGTGAATATAAACATATTGGTTGGAGTTATAAAGAGAAACTATTACCCATGGATAACCGTGGATACCCGAAACCCGAACGGGTATGGGGCACAATTTGGATTTTTTACCCGTTTCTTATGTGGGTACGAGTATGGGTAAAACCCGAACTCATTGGGTAGGGTAACGGATATGCATTATCCGTCCCCGACCCGACCCGACCCATTGTCATCCCTATTGGTAATCACTACATTCTTATATCAACGAGAGATAATGAAACATAAAAGAACTATCAAATATAGAAATAAATGTTACACGTAATTCGAGCATCTAATGTAGTAATGGCAATGTCCACCCATATATAATATTTACATAATAGTTTTGGTTATTAGTTTGCATCTTTTGAAACAAGGATTTCTTCCCACCGTTCACGTACAAAGAAAGAAAAGAATAGTCCAGAGGAGTTCTTCTACTCCCCCCATTCTCCAACTCACAAACTCTTTGTTTATTCCACACGCGTTATCTTGCTAGAACCCACAGCACATGCTCTGCATCTGCTTGATCTACTCCACTTTTGAATCTAAGCACACATGGAATGGATACATATCATGTGAACTGAACTTCCTTAAAGCCCTGCCATGAGCTAGATAGATAGGTCATAGGTGGCAGTTAGTGTATGTATTGGATGTCGGAACGTAACATACAAACCACTGACTACCTGCCAAATTGGAGTGCAATGTTTGCATTGCCCATCTTTCTTTAACCTCCCCTCCAAACTGATAACTCAGAAAGAAGAGAACCGACCTTTACTCCACAACACAGAGAAAGCCCCCCACTTCCCATTCTTTCTTTCTTACCCACCCCGAGAGACGCGGACCTAACATTAACCAACCGGCTTAAACAATCATATATATACGTTTAGCTTATTACTCCCATCCCAGATTCCCAATCCCACAGGCACAGAAAGCGACAGCATCAAGAGGATGTGGCGGCAGTCGCAGCTGAGATGTCCCAATCACCGTCCCATGAAAACTATAGCTCGCTCGCCGCCTGCCTCTTTCCCTCAGGAGGAGAGGAGGACTCCACTTTCTTACACTTTAACTGCCACGGAAATTTTGAGGCTCAAGACACGCGTATTAGTCATTCATCCCAACATCAACTCCCCGCCATTCCACTTCCGGTAAATACGTGTATTACTCAGTCATCCCAACATCAACTCCTTGCCTCTTTCCCTAATTCAACACCCATCTTTCTCATCCCCACAAATCACCCATGTTTATTTCTTATACTTCCGCCTCACTCTATCAGAATGTTGGTCAATGGATCATGCACACCGGGGAAAAATAGAGGTACCTTCGATCATGATCATAATAATAATAATCATAGTAATAATAATAATAATACTGAATTACAAAAATATTAACAAACCCTGATGAAATAACGACAACCACACTACTACCAAGTAGTAACTACAAACTTAAGAGAGGGAAACACAAAATCATTATAAACTGCAAAATGGTAGGCGGGTGGTAACTTGGAGGGGGGGAAAAACTGGGGGAAAAAAAAGGGAGATAAAAATTGAAAGCCAATGGCGCTCTCGCTACCACCTATACAACCACACACACAAACTTGCCCTACTCCGAAGAGTAAGGAAAGGAAGGAAAGAACAACAAGGAGATAAAACAGGAACCTCACCAGGACAGAGGTTGGGTTAGCCTTGCCCCCAAAACTCTAATGTCTTGCTTGCTACCTTGCTTTTGTGCTCTGATGATATATAATCTAAGGCAGACGGGGGAAATACAAGTAGTTTCTATGTCAGAAAGCAGCACGCCTATACTTTCGTAAACGATGTCATCGTCCTCCCCCTATGCACCAGCAGTAGAGGATATCGGCATGCAACGACCATAAGAGTTACCAACAGCAGAACCAAGAGAAGAGCGGATCGACGATGTATATAAAGTACCCAGGGAGGGAGAAGAAGACGTTTTCTTTCACTCCTTTGCTGATTTGGCAAAAGCTGAAACTGGACTTCTACATGTGTTATTGAGTGCTGCGTGTTAACCCGCCACGTCCTACGCTTCTGCCATGCACAGGAAACTTATGTTAGCTAGTTTCTCTAACAACCAAACCACCTAGAACAGACATCGCATCTCCTCACTTGTACAGGCAAGTTGAAGACTCGCGCAGCTTAGACAGCTAATCTAGAGAAAGTGGGGATCGAAGAGGGTTAACACTCAAGAGGAAAAATGAAAATGATTGCGAGTAGTACCTTCCAGGAAGCAAGTGGGCAGCAGACACGGTGCTCTTTGAGTGACTGAACCGCTTTGCTCTATTTTCGTGTTCTTTGTCCACTCGCATGGCAGCAACCTCCTTCTCCATCACAGCTACTTCTCTTCTCATCTTCTTTGCCTCAACCTCCATAGCTTTGGATAATGTTTCTACCTTCTTTGCTAGCATCTGGAAATATCATAAAACATATGAGGATTTTAACCAGAACAAGGACTATTTATCACAAGACAAGGAAAGAGTGAAACCTCAATGGCATCATCTTTATCTTTGAGGCTTTGATCTTTTTCGTGACCAGCTTTCCTTAACGAAACAACCTCTTTCTGCAGCAAATCATACAACATCCCAGGAACTTTATCTTCTCTGTCTACTGGAGGGAAGTCCGCAGGCTTCTCATCTGGATTTCCTTTCCAAGTATTTGAGGCCTCTGTATCCTTGGAAACATCTGTGGGCTGGTTGAATGAACAGTTTGGGCTACCTCCATTGAGGAGGACTTTGCTACCCCTGTCCAGTGACCTCGTGCCCCCATCAAATGATTTCGATGTTCCTTTAGCATGCTTCAGCACAGCACTGGTACTAGAAGACATAGCTCTCTGGGTTGATGGAGATCTCTTGGGGAGAAAGCCGTTGGAGGTATATTTCGAAAGGTAATCAGCTCCGCCCAAGGATTGGCGCCGTGATGGCCCATTACTTGCACTCCTTCCATCTGATGCACTGCGACTGCTACTACTTGAAGACCCTCTCAAGGTCTCTTCCAGAACTTTGAGCCGCAACTGATATTTCTCCTGAAATCACAGAACATACGGTTACTTATAGCATATTCAAATTAAAAGAGTCAATGAGGCGAAGATGGTAGAAGAGTTATGGTTATACTTTCAACTGTGCTTCAGATTTTGCAGTTCTCTCAGCTATGTTGAGTTTGTCGCGGAGTTGCTGCATCTCCCCCTGTAACAACAGTGTTGACCAACCTATTAGTGCTACAGAGATGCAACAGTTCATAAACCTTAGTGCAAGAACGCTAATAAAAGCTCTAACGCTGGAAGCAAAAAAAGGAAATTCAGTAATAACCTGCAAAAACCTCCGCTCTTCAAGCCATTGTTTTACAGGCATCACTTTGTCGTTAGCATCTTTCCATTCATTTGCTACTACTGTTGCCACCCTGTTTGCGGTTACCTTTGCTCGAGCCAATTCCCGATCTAAGGTTTTCCTTTCCTCCTGCAAGACAAATTAGTACACATCATATATTCCAGGATGGTCAAACAAGATGCTACCAGAAGGCATCTAGTGAAAAGTAATGGAGGAAGCTAAAAATCCAAATTACATTCATCTCTTGAACTTTCCGCTGATAATCCCTCACAGCATTGGCTGCAGCACCACCAGCAAGCACTGCCTCTTCCAGTTCCCTTACAGTTTGTGTGAGTTTTTCAACCTCAGCAACCTTTTGCCTATGCATTTTGTCCAAAATCTTATTCTCTTCCTAAGATACATGACCAGTGTCCATATCAGTGCATAGAAGGTGGGAACACCAACAAAAACCAAGTGGCAACATTAAAGTTTCTAGCACAGATAAGATCGTAGAGACTACCTGGCAAATTTCTATCTGCTTCATTAACTCCTGGTTCTTATTTTGGAGATCATCCACCATGGAGGCCTTAGCCATGGCAACCTGAACAGTTCTCTCAGCTTCAAGCAATGCAGCTTCTTTCGATTTGGTTAGTCGATCCAATGCTTTGTTATCATCTTGAAGTTTTGCTATCTGTGAGCAACAAACTGACAAAATTAGCCAAATATTCTGCAACAGGATTCAGTTTAAGAAATAATGAATTGGATAAAAGCAGACCTCCAAGCGAGCAAGCTTAAGCTCAGCCTCCAGAGGAGCAAGAATAGCCTCGATTGGAGGCATATCATCATCCTTTTGAGCAGCATGAACTCTTCTGAGAGTAGCTTCAGCTGCAAACTGAGCAGCCATGGAAGCTCTTTTCTCATCGTTGATCTTCTTAATTTCCAGATTCTGCAAATGAATTTCATTCAAGCAATCAGAGAAGATGGCAACATAGGAGATGATGAAGACGTACGCAAAAAAAATCCAAGTAATACCTTGCTTTCTAGAAGGGATTCAGTCAATTTCAGCTTTCCATCCACCTTTGAGAGTTCATCAGTGAGCTGGGGAATTATGGAAGCAAGGAAATCAGAATCAAGCCGCAAAACAAGTAAGCTACTTATATACAATCAACTTGGATTACGAAAGTTTCCACTAATATATATCAATTACGTGCAAAATCTGGAAATACATACCCTAGTAGTGGAATTCATTAACTCAACTATGTAAATTTCTATTTTCAGACAAAAAGGGTAACAATAAAGTTGATTACCAAATGTGATTTCATAACCAAATTCTTTAAGCTTTGTGATGCAACATGCGAAAAACACATTGAAACAGCATAGTACAAGTAAACCATGAAACAAAAAATCAACACAAACCACCCAGCAAATGAGAAACTGTTATCACTGAATGCTACTCGTATCACCCATGTAACTGATTTGTATAAAGATAATTCGACCTTCCTGAGAACTTCTGTACCGAGATTAAGGGGCTAAACCACAGCAACAGTGAGCAACCATGCTCAACTCTGCTGATACTGATTCATATTCATTTTCAACCAACACTAGAAACTATCTACATTTTCTCTAAATAGATCGTGTCAATGCGTCAAGAATCAATCCATCAAGAATGTCTTACAAGCTAATTCGGCAATGCTAAATTACTATTAGTGGCGCTGCTAAAGAAGCTCAAATGTAATGAAAAGATATACAAGACAAATCAAAAGAAGAAGCTAAAAATGAGCGGAAGTTGCAGGAAACCAGGAAGAACGACAAACAAAAGGAACAACAACAAAATTGACCGAAAAGGAAAGTGGAAGACCTCTTCAACGGCCTTCTCTCGAAGTCGTTCCGATAGCCTCAGCGCCTTGATCTCCGCTTGAGCTTCGCTAAGCTCTCTGTCCTTATCTGGAAACACAAACACCAAAAAGGAGGAAAAAAGGAAAAGGGGACAAAAACAAAGAAAATTGTTCATTACGCTTTCAAAAATTAGAAAGTGTGGAAAATTAGCGCAAGGAAGAGAGAAGCAAATCCAGAAGCGGAATCGGAGGGGGCGAAAATCAGCTGAGAAATGGACTAGATCCAACCACATTCCGCACCTCTAACTTCGTTCTCGAGCCGATTGAGCTCGACCTTGACCGGATCCGAGCCGTGAAGCAAGGTCATGAACTCATTGTCAGCGTCGAAGCTCCTCCTGACGGCGGCCGCCCTCCTCCTCGACGAGCTCTTGGGACCTTCCTTGAAGGATCCCGACACCGTGAGCGGCGGCGCCAGTGGCGGTGCCGCCGAAGTCGGCGTTCCAACAGCAGCATTCGTAGCAAATACAGGAGTACCGCCGTTCAGCAAGGGGAACGCCTCGCCTTCGCCGGAAGCGTCCGCCATCTGCCGATCTGATCGAAGTTAGTATTTCAGCAGCTCCTCCTCCTCCCGCGCGTATTTATCGCCCTCACATCCAAATGCGGCAGTAGATCCAAAAAATGCCAACACAGACGTTTGAGAATGGAAGAAGGAAGAGAAAGGAAGGGAGAGGTTCCTGTTTGTTTCTGTGGAGTGTTTCCTGCTATAACTGTGTCGCGATGTCGTCTTCTTCCTTTCTTTCTTCCTTTCTTTCTTTCTCTCTTCTTCGCCTTCTTTCTCTCTCTCTCTCTCTTGCTCTGCTGCTGCTGTTTGAGATATGAAACGAAGTGAGAGAGAGAGAGAGATGAGATAAATAAGAAATCTGACTGTCTGTATTTTTGTGTAATGAAAAAGAAAGGGAGAGAGAGAGAGGAAATTAGAGCTGAGAAACAGTTAAGCATTTGTGTTTAGTGATGTAAATTGTAAACCCAGGGAGAGAAATAGAGAGCTAAAGCAGCTCAACTTTTTTTTTTGGGATTTATTATAGCTTTGGATTTATTTATATATTTGGGTATTATCTAGTGAGAGAGTGGAGGGATCGGGCACGCAGGGCAAGTGAGGGTTGTCTTTTATGTGTCGACGTTTGGGATTTTTGCTTTTGTTTTTACACTTATTTTTTGTTTTATATATTTTACAATTTTGGATAGTGATAAAAATTAGAAAGAGTGTGGGCGTGGTGGTGGAGACTGTAGAGAGAGGAAGAAGAGAGATTTGAATTCCGAGGAAAAAAGTGCCTATTTAAATCATTTTCTTGGAGGATTAATTTGGGGGATTTGGATTAATTAATGGGAGGAATTAATTTAAAATTTTGATTTAAGGAAGGATTGGGAGGGAAGCAGGATTGGCAGGCGCTTTGCTGTTAACCACACTGTTTTGAGCCGCTTGACTACCTCTCCGTCTTTCTTTCTCCTCCCTTTAATTTATTTTGTTATTCTCTGTCTCAGATCTCCACCTCCTCTTCTATGCTCCTTCGCAATCTGTTCTAAATAACAAAGCTTACAAAAATTACAAAATAAACCGACAAACATTACCAAGTATACTAACAATACAAAAAAAACACTACTTACAATACAAATCGGTAAAATTGTATTACAAATCAATGAATACAAAGTATACAAATCATAACATAAAGTATACAAACTAGACTAACAAATATTACAAATTACAATGTATACAAATTAGTCATATAAACATTACAAACTTAATAGATAAAAATGACAAACTAGAATGATAAACGATACAAACTGAATTTATACAAAATCACAAAACATACTTACAAACATTACAAAATCGTCCGACAAACATAATAAAACAGACGTAGTTGCCGGAAAATCCTCTCTAGCATCGCCGGGAAATTCGCCGTCGTCGGAAAATTCACTGGCGACGAAATACTCTCTCTCTCTCTCTCTCTCTCTCTCAAACATTGCTCTGGAGTCTAGTCGAGTTGGAGAGGGGAGAGGTGCCATCTCGTGGCGGAGGAACCAACAGGGGCAGAGAGGGGAGAGGCGGACGGAGAGGGTTGAGGCGGAGTCGGAGAGGGGAGGAGGAGACCGGAGAGGGGAGGCGGAGTCGTGGAGAGGCGGAGGCAGAGTCGAAATCGGAGAGGGAAGGGAGGGATGTCAGGTGGATTGTGGGTTGCTAGGTCATGAATGGCGGAATGGGTTCTGGGATGGCGATCGATTAGGTATTAGGGTTTCCTTCCCTCTCCTCTTCAGTAGGGATGTCAATCCAACCCGTAACCATGGGTACCCTACCCGACCGTAACCGGTCAACGAGGGTAATTACCCGCTTTGACGGGTTAAGGGGCGGGTACGGGTAATACCCGGTTTCAAAATAAAGGGTAGGGTACGGGTATGGTAATTGATAATACCCGCCCTGTTATACCCGCCCCGCTAACCAAAGGGAGTCAATTTCCCTTGAGAAATTTAGTTTAGCTTGAAAAATTTAGTTTAGCTACCATTATTGATGATGAAGATGTAGACGATTATTATGTTTGTGTGAATTGTAGAAGCAAGAACAATTATTATGTTTGTGTGGATTGTAGAAGCAAGAGCAATTATTATGTTTTTGTTGTTTTTATTTGTGTGGATTGTTGAAGCTAGAACAATTAGAAGTATTGAGAATTTTTAATGGACAACAATATGTATGTGCATATATGTGTATAAGTTCATAGTTTAGGATTCATACCCATGGTTACCCGAATACCCGTGGTTACCCGGTGGGTAGGGTATGGTTATATAATTTTCATACCCGGTGGTTATTTGGTCGGGTATTTTAGAAGGCTCTACCCGGCGGGTTAGGAGTTGGTATAGGGTAAACCCGCACCCGACCCTACCCATTGCCATCCCTACTCTTCAGACGTTGCGTTTCATTCTCCCTTCTCAGAGTCAAGAATACCATAATGGTTTGTAGGGTGTGATTAGTTTAAGTATATGGGATATAATACTTGTGGCGAATGTTATATTAGTTGGTGGGTTGTGATTCGAATTTCGTTTAAGGAAATTATGTGTGGCAATTGCTTATTGTTCTTATTTAGCCAAATGAGTTCATGTAACTCCGGTAATATGTGACAACTGAATAGTTAAATGAGGTAGAGTTCACATAAGAATATAAGTGAGGGAGTTAGGAGATGGATTTTGTGGCCATATAATTATACGGTGAAATTTGAGTTCGTTTACTTCTGTGGTGAGAGTTACAATTGACAAATTTTCTTTCTACTAATGTCTCATATAGTCATTTACTAGAACTTTTCGAAGACGTCAACAACAAGATTTTCCAACAAGTTGTCTGGAAATGCCACTCGGGTTCAACTTTGGAGCGCTTCTCCAATGTTGCTTGCTCTATTTGCATCTTCGTCCACTCTAGAATTCATCATCGGCCAACTCTCTTTGCTTTTAAGGAGTTCAACCTAACTGAATAGTTTTAGAAAACAAAATTGTTCCCAATGTGTTGAACGCTTAAGTTGATGTTGTTTAGTGTATATAGTTTAGCATAATAAAATTAGTTATATGTCCACTAGCATCTCAAAGATTCATGTTAAACTTATATTTAGAGCAATGAGTGCAAACATTAAAGAACAGTTCTATGATAATGATTTGTACATATTTGTTCGACTAAAGAGCTAAATTCATCTGACTTTGAAAAAAAAAAGAGCTAAATTCATTTACACGTTTAATTGAAAATGGTAAGAAATTATTATATGTCAATGTTTCTATCTTAAATGTAGTCTTACTTTATTTGAATGGGCTCTCTTTAGATTTAGACATTGGTTGGACACCAAATAGAAACCAATACATTTTCCAGTTATCATCCAAAATTATGATTACCATGAATATGAACCGCCTCCAAAGAGTGGTTTACCATGATATGAACCGCCTCCAAAGAGTGTTTTACAATCAATGAAATTATATGAAGCATTCTCTCTCTCTCTCTCTCTCTCTCCACTGAAACCAACACCTCAACCGGTCCGAATATGACCCAAAATTAGAGTAGCAGTAAAACATTAATCGAGTAAGGAACTAATAATATCCCATGATGAACAAAAAGAAAACCTTTAACAGTAAAAGAAAAAGGGGGAAATGAGTCCAGTCCAAGCAGAAGTTATAGCAGCATCTCAGCAATTTGAACGGCATTCAGGGCAGCTCCCTTTCGTATTTGATCCCCACAAACAAAGATGTCCAACCTGCAAAACCCCCCCACCCCCAACAAATTACTTAATAAAGGAGAAAGAAATGACACACCATGTACTTCGAGGAATGACCTCCCAGTCCCAAGCACAACAGAAAAGGCAGTTACAAGGTTTTCTTACCCGTGATTGCCTTCTTGGGACAGATCTTGCCTAATTCTGCCAACTGCAACGTCGTCCTTGTTCGACACTTCCAGCGGCGTTGGGAAATGGTTGGATGCACGGTCGTCGATCACCACCACACCTGGTGCATTCTTCAGAATCTCCCTTGCTGTATCCTGTTCCCAATAACAGCCCAAACAAACAATATCGATGAATGAAATCACAAGATAGTGAGATGTTACAGAACTGGCAAAGCACTGAAAACTGAAAGTCGGAATGGCAAGTTGCAAGATTTGACAGGTAACCACAGGTTAGTAACAGAAAGGGGGGAAATTTACTGGTAAAGGTGAAATGAAATGGCAAAGTAGAAAGACGTGTTCCCTATGTTGCTAGCTAAACAACTCTTTCAAGGCAATGCTAAACCAAGAATTATCACCGGTTAGAAAATATCAGCTAGTGGGAACTACTCTAAACTCGTACCAGCCTACCTCAGAATGTCAACTGAAAAACGTATTTCAGAGGTACTTCCTAGGGTAAAAGAAAAGAGAAAATAGAACCTAGCTGTTCCCTTCTGAAACTTCCACCCAAATCTATCAACCAAAGAGAAAGAGGGAGAAACAATAGCAGCCAGCAAAACAGCTCAAATAGATGTCGCAATTCCTGAAACAGTAAACAAGATCTGCTAGGTAGTTTACAAGATTTTTCCAACTAGCAGAAAGTGATGCTGGCACTTTGGCAAATCAAGCCTCAAGAAGTCCATTATCGTGATTCGTGATCCCAGCATGAGTGCATTCAGCAGCAGCGGAGAAGGAGAAAGCTCAAAAGAGTTTCAAATTGAAATAGAGCAGAGAACTTATGAACAAAAAGGCATATAAGGCTGCTATGACCATAAAAGATGTTAGGCACCTCCATGTTAGCCAGATCCTTCAGCAGGGCCACAAAGCACCACTGAAAGAGAAACCTAACTATTGTGCTTACTAAACAAGGGTTCCAATCCAAAGCTTAAAAGAGATGGAACTTGCAAATATTTACCTCATCAAGTGGCTTCTCGAATTGGAGATTAACACTCTCCGCATGAGCACGCATGACGGGGACTCTTATACAGGTAGCAGTGACCTTAACATCCAAGTCACTCTGGAATTATCAAAACAGACAGGTAGAGAGAGAGAGAGATACATTAGAAATGTAAACCACAGTAAGCAGGAATTTTGACGTTAGAGTGGCATGTCTCTGGCCCCAACAGGAATACCCAAGTAACCCATCATATGTTGACCATGATTGGAGAATTCACAAAGCTAAATGACCAAATCTTACCCAGATTTTCCTGGTCTCTTTTACTAATTTCATTTCTTCTTCATTGTATCCATTCGGTAGAACTGGTGCATTGTGTGAAAACAAATTAAAAGCATACTGCACACATCCAACAAAAACCCTTCATCAGCTTCACTTGTAAGGCAAGAAAACATGAAAAAGAAAGAGCACAATAGAACAATAATGCATCATCAAAGGGGCAAACCTGTTGGCTAAATATGTTACAAGTTGGCGGCTTTCCTTCCAACACCTTACCAAAAACAAAGAAAACACCATACTTCAGAAAGACGGCAAATTGATGACACGTTATCAAGAATAAGAACACCAACAGAGTATATAAATCAGAATAGATAGATGAAGGAAAACCTCACGAGTCTGGAGTTCAAGCTCTTCCATGGCAGCAGCACCAGCCCCACTGGCTGCCTGATATGTACTGACAACCATGCGTAACACCTGCAACCCAAACGCCAATGAAACAATTTCACCATTACAAAAACTCAAATCCAAAGCTACAAATCCGAGAGATCAGGGCACTTCATTTCATTTACGAATTCAAGCAAGGCACAGAAAAAAGCTGGCATAAATCAAACAAAAAAGCATTTGAAATGAAAGATTCATTCCCCCAAACTGTCTGAAACTCTTAACTAACAGAACAAAAGATGAATTTCTTTTACCTTGGCACGTTGATGCAATGGAGTGGCAGCCATCAAACAGATAATGGTAGAGCAATTGGGGTTTGCAATCAAAGCTCCTTTCCCCATCCCAACCTTAATCCCTCGCATAGCTTGGGGATTGACCTCAGGAATCACCAAAGGAACCCCATCCACCATCCTGAACGCGGAGCTGTTATCAACAACAATGGCGCCCTTCTCCACCGCCGCCGGCCCAAACTGCTTGCTAATTGACCCACCGGCGCTGAACAGGGCGATGTCGACCCCGTCAAAGCTATCGGCGGTCAGCTCCTCCACCGTGTAGTTCCTGTCCTCGAAAGTCATCTGCTTCCCGGCCGAGCGCTTGGAAGCCAGCATTTTGATTGAACGGTAAGGGAAATCCCGGTCGGAGAGGACGGAGAGGAACTCTTGGCCGACGGCCCCCGTGACGCCGACGACGGCGATTGAAGGGCCGGTTTCTTGAAGGGACATGCGGACTGTGAATGGGGAACGGAGGTTCTTGGTGGGTTTGGGGAGAGGGGAGGTGGAGAAAAGGCGGCCGTGGGCGTGGGGCTGAGCGAAAGTCGCCGCCATTGTTTGAGTTCTTTCTTTTGGGGGGGAGATTCTGTGGAAAAGGAAAACAGCGGCGGGCGGAGACTGGAGTGGGTAAATTTTGCCTGGGAAGAAGAAGGGTTCAGTAACAAGTCAAGATTGAGAAATCAGAAGAGGGTTTAAGAGCTTATTGAAAGACATTAGAAAGACGTGTGCTGAATCAGTATAGTAACGTAAAATTACAATAGCAGAAATGTCAGATTATTGTGTGCTTAGGGTCGGTAAGTAAATTATGATTTTTGACAAAGAGGGGTTTTGTGTATTTTTTTTTTTTTGTCTAACGTTAACCGCTTTTTAGTTTTTACTAGTATTGCATTTTAATTGATCAGTTACAAAAACAAACTGTACTGAAGTAACCATAACCAAATCGAGAGAAAGGAAATCCTAAGCACATGGTTATTATAATCCGTGCTTGAGAAATGCACACCAGTGAATTAGAACACTTGATCCAACTTCCAATAAACTCAAAAGTTCACTCTCGCAATCAACTAAATAAAAGTAGCACCAAGCACACATTTAGCTCGTCCAATCCAATCAATATCATGACTATCAGGGGCGGAGCCAGGATTTCGAGACCGGGGGGCCGAAAATAATTAAAAAAAATTATGTAACCAATGTGGATCGAACCCATGTGCTATAATACACAAGTTAAGCTTGGCTACCATTAGACCACATAACTATTTGATCATATAATTTACAGAACATGTTCTACTTCTAAAATTTGTACGAAATATCTTTAAAAACCTAGGGGCCGGGATCAATCCCGTGGGGGCCGGGGCCCACCCTAGCTACAATGTAGCTCCGCCCCTGATGACTATCGAACACATCAATATCATAAGCCGTATCTTGTGAGTTGTTTGAAGTCATCACAACACAGTGAAATCTTTAATCGAAATTACATGGCGACTGGTAGGGCTGGGCATGCGGGCGGATCATCCGCGAGTTTGGACCTACCCACCCGCATTTGACCCGAATTTCGTTAAGTGGGTGGGTCTATGGGTGGGTGACGGGTTGCGCTGGGAGCCATCCGCCGGGTGGTGGGTGGGTTGTGGGTGGGTGCGCGGGTGACCCGCTCAACCCAACAACAAAAAGATCAAAATCGTCGGCGCTAGAGAGGGGAGAGTGGAGACGCTAGACATAAATTAGGACTGCTCCTGGAGTTTAAACCTCAAAGCCAACCTTCCAAATAGCGATCCCCTCTTCTTCCCTTTATTTTTTCTTCTAATTCTTGTGCCTAAATCACTGCTCTTTCCTTTGTGGAATTATTTTTCTTAGTTCCTTGCACCTGATAATCATCTCAATTTATAGAAAACTCTTTCATCATAGAATTTCTATCCATTTTAAGAACTCTCTTCGCCTATTATCATGTCAAGTTGACTCCTTTATATTATATACATTGTGATGTGGGTGAACCCACAAACCCACCCAAATCATCCACCATCCGCCCGACCCAACCCGAGACTAAATGTGGGTGGGTGGTGAGTTAAAAATTATCAATCCGTTTAAACGCGGATGGGTGCATTTTATGGTCAAAATCCACCCGACCCACCCAATTCCCACCCCTAGCGACTGGTGGTAAGGATTATAGATCGTATTGCTCCGAATCCAAGCTGAAAAGCCAAAGTGAGCCGAACCCGAATCAGCATATCTTGGTCCAAGGATTTACTTAGTCCCAACTGACAAGGCCCTTTCGTTAGTCATCTGATCTAGTCAGTACGCAGCAGCCTAGTTCATGCAAAGTGGACCACTTTCATCCAGCAATTTATGTAGACCCAAAACTTCTATAGATTTCAATATGTTTTCCTGACCAGTTTGCTTGGACCAATTTCGGTCCATAACACATTCGTTACTACGTTCATTTTTGGGCTTTGATTTAGAAAGCGTGGGCTTTTGAGGCATGCCTCGAAATTGAACTGGGATCTGAGCGAAAGCCAACCCACGAATTTGTGTTCGCCCATCATCTTATTGCCTGATGGAAGAGAAACCATGTAAAGAGGAGCATACTCACTGCCCGCCTTTCTAAACCAAGGCTCAAAATGTATATTTACCACCCTAATTTATCAAAGGCAGCTAAGCCAATTGATGTCATGCGATGTAGGATGGTAATTTCGATCTCATTCATATAACTTGAGTTGTTTTGATTAGTTGTAGAGTGGGTATAGTTCTTCTATAATATATTTTTTTTTTATAATGGTGAAAATATATTAAAACAGAAAAAGGAAGGAACAATCAGGTTCAACAATGACAGAGAAAGGAAAGAGAAGGGATCATGAGATCTGATCCCAACTGCAAAACAAAATGAAAAGAAAGAACAGCAGGTGAGAGGCGTTAACCGGGCCGAACCGGCCCTACGCCCTCAACCGAACTCACTACAAACATAGCGCAACAGAGCAACTAAAAAAGGAACACATCAGACCTGGAGAAACAAAAACACAAGCCAAACGGAGCTCTACACAACACCAGACACCCCCTCATCCTCAACCAGTAAACCAACGTTATGATCATAGAGGTTTTCTTCCGGAGTTAGCTGAGTACAAGCAAGAAGGATCATGCTACACCATTCTCTCTGCTGAAGATCGCTTAACACCCCTGCAGATTTTGATGAAAACAGCCTGCGGATGCTTACCCTTTTCCTGGAAAATTCTAGCGTTTCTTTCTTTCCAAACTTCCCAAGTGAACGCATGAAGAAGACCCTTCACAAACCAGCACTTCCAGGTCCTCTGATTGCCCGCAGGCCAGCCTCTAATGACCAAGGAAAAATCTGAAGGAAAGGGACCAACAATCCCTAGCATATGCTGAAGCTGCACCCAAATTCTTCTGCTAAAAGAACAGCAACTGAAAATATGATCGCTGGTTTCTTCCTCAGTTTCGCATAAAGCGCACCTGTTCGCCATAAACCACCCCTTCCTTTTCAAATTGTCCTGTGTAAGAATGCGTTTGTGTACAACCAGCCAAAGAAAAGCTTGCACTTTCGTGGGAATCTCCTGTCTCCAGATAGCATCAGAGGGAAAATCCTCTTCGCCATTAAACCTTGCTTGGGCGAGGACGTTGTACATGGACTTCACAGTGAAACCATTCTTCACATCCGGGCGCCAAATCAACTTCGCAGGACCTGAGGAGATCATATCAAAGGGTAAAGTGGATAAAAAAATGGACAAGATTCAACCTCTCACACTCAGCCCCACCCCTCAAATTAACAGTAAAATTTAAATCCCATTCCACTCTCTCATTATAAAAGGATATCAGGCTGGACACCCACGCATTAGGATTTGAGGAGGCCGTCGCAGCTCTAGGAAAGGCATCTTTCAGAATCACACCTGGCCACCAGCAATCGTTCCAGAAGGACACCCAAGCACCGCCTCCCGGGGTTAAACAAGCAGATTTCCAGAATTGAGGTTCCTCTTTTAAAATTCTTTTCCAAACTGAACAACCAATCGACCCACCATTGGTTCCCGCCCTCCAAACAGAAGCAGAGTTGGGAAACTTGAAATCAATAAGCTGCCTCCACCATGCAGACGGATCAGAAGCATATTTCCAAAACCATTTGGTGAGAAGGGCTATGTTCATGCAATCCAGGTCTAAAATGCCCAGACCACCCTTGTCCCTAGTCATCTTACAAATATCCCACTTCACAAGGTGATACTTGCTCTTGCTCTGAACACCTGACCAAATGAAGTTTCGCATCATACTTTCCATCTTGTGAATTGCCTTCTTGGGAGCTCTCAGTAGTGAAAACATGAACAAAGGTTGGCTTACAAGGCTGCTCTTACACAAAGTGATTCGGCCACCAAGGGACAGAAAATTACCTCTCCAATTCTCCAATCTCGACTAAAATCTGTTCAACACATGGTTCCAGATTGAAGAGGAATTCGGGCTTGCGCCTAGAGGCAGCCCAAGATAAATCGTAGGGAGATAGCTCCAGCCACAACCAAAAATACTCGCATAAGCAGCAGGATTTTGAACATTCCCGACCGGGTACATAGTGCTCTTCTCCACATTGATTCTCAGCCCTGTAACAGCTTGGAAACAAACCAAGGTAGAAATAAGGTAAATCACGTGCTCTTCATTAGCATCGCGGAAAATGATAGTGTCGTCCGCATATAGAAGATGAGTTACTTCACCCCTCGAGTTTAGCTCGTCTGCAAAAAACCCAGCAAAAAGACCAGCCCTTCTAAGGGATTCAAGCATACCCGAGAGCACATCCATGACCAACAAGACGAGGTAAGGAGACATGGGGTCACCTTGCCTCAGTCCTTTCTCAGTTTTGAAGAAACCAGCAGCTTCACCGTTAACCAAAACATAAAGGAGAGGAGCCGAAACCAACCCCTTAATCCATAACATGGCTCTGTTTGAGAAATGCATGTTGTTCAAGATGTTAAAGAGGCAATTCCAATTTACATTGTGGAAGGCTTTTTCAATATCCACCTTGAAAACCAATCCCGGTTTGCCACTCTTCTTCCTGCTATCGATCATCTCGTTCGCAATGAGAGATGCATCATGAATTTGTTTCCCCTTGATGCAGCCAAACTGATTCCCAGAAACCACTCTTAACAAGATTGGCCTAAGTCTCTCAGTGATGGTTTTTGAAATCAACTTATTCATTCTGCTAAGAAGGCTTATAGGGCGAAAGTCTTTTATGTCCTCCACTGCATCTTTCTTAGGAATGAGGCAAATAAAAGAGTGTGCAATGCTTTTTGGAAGTTTCCCCATCTCAAAGAAATCACCAAAGGCTTTCATCACATCTTCTTTAATCACACCCTAGTGTTTCTTGAAGAAAGCAAATGAGAAACCATCAGGCCCAGGAGCCTTGTCCCCTTTGCTACGCTTAATCACGCTCCAAACCTCCTCTTCCGTGAAGGGTCTAGTGAGCAGCGCCTCTTCTTCATCCAAAATTCTAAGATTGCCACCATATTGTGCAGGGAAAGGACGTCTGGGATAGTCTTCCTTGAACACGGCCGAGAAATGCCCAACACAAGCCTCTTTCAACTCCTCCTTGCCCTCAACACAAACATCACCAACCTTAATGTTCATAACCAAGTTCCGTCGCCGATTGTGATTAGCCACCTTATGAAAAAAACCTGAGTTCTTGTCACCCACCTTAAGCCAGAGCTCCCTAGATTTTTGACGCCACAAAGTCTCTTCCATAATCAACACACGTTCCAAGCTGCATTTCAGAGAATTCCTAGTCAACAGGT